GCTGAATCCAACATTTTGCATCAGAAATGTACACAAGGGATTTACTGCTCAATCCAACAGGTTCCAACGGGTATATGACATAGTTGGATCCTGTTGGATTCAGCAGGGTTAGGGTTTTTAAGATTGCTTTTGACAAAAACGTGTCACTTGATCAAGAGGTTGTGCATGGTTTTCACTGTTTTCTCTAACAGTACCGGTATAATATCCACTTAGCCTAATTACTTAAAAAGCCCCCAACGTGCACAGTACCTAAAAAAAAATGTTTACACTTTCATTGCACGCGACCGGGTCGTTGCTGCTGTTGGGATGTATCATTCTTCCTGTCTTGGAAAATCTTGGGAATTTACCAGCGGTCATCACGAGTTGGATTTTTAAGTTTGGTGAGTGTACACACTGAACAGTGTGAGTAGAGCAGGTGACCAGTCTAAGCAGTAAGCAGTGAGAGTTTTCCTTAGCAAATTTCCAAGGCAATCACGAAATTTGATCCAGTTGAAATGGTTACACTCAACGCGATGTTCATCAACACGACCCATTCACCACATATATCAAGTGACTCCCTCTCCCCCCCCCCCCCCCCACACTGCGGTCTGCAGTAACCATACGAGCCAGAAGATGGCGCCCCTTCCCCGCTACCTTAATGGATCCGCGGCGCTCGTAATTTAAGACAGAAGGGAGGGAGGAGGCAAATGCGCGGTGGTTGTACAAGTACGATCAATAATAGTCGTGCGTCTCGATTCCGACCCCGTTGTCGCTTGGCCGTCGAGACTTTTTGTGAGGGCGGAAGGAGTCGCATGTCTCCTGCAGCTATAGCAATTAAAGTGACACTACGCCGGGTGTGTGTGTGTTGGGGGGATATTGGCAAAGTCTATTTTTAGATGATTTTTCAGCTTTAAAGGGGCAGTGCTCGTTTATACCGTAATTATGTGACTTTATTGCTACATTGTAATGAAAATATTTGGGGGGAGCAGGGTTCAATTTTACTTTATCAAAAAAAATTGAATTATTATTTTTCAATATCTTTATGGTCCTGAATGATATGATGTTAATCATTTGATACACTGTAACATGTACATGTGTACCTTTAAATTTGTTTTAAATGCTACGATATATTTGGGTTTGTTTGTTTGTTTGGGGCAAATTTTTCCGCCAACACGGAATTTTTTGGTTCTATTTGCGTGACGATGAAATCAGAAAAATTTGGCTTTAAATGTTGTTATGAACTCTGTCTGCTGCCCTCACTTGACTCTGAAAATCAATTGGTCCAGATTTTTCCACATATTTTCCCTTTTATTTTGGGGGGGGGGGGGGGGGGGGGCTGGTGGAAGCAGGGGAATAAACCTCCTTTCTGCGCATCCTCTTTTGATTAGATTATATTCCTTCGCCCGCCGAACAGAAGACGACCAGAGGTGATGTTTGTTTGTCAGACGCAAAGAGAAAATCGGTCTCAGCTTTCGAGATTGGTTGCTGGGGCAGACTCCCGTTGCCATTAGGGCATCTGTGTGACACACTCTGCGCTGCCACCGTTCGGGTAAACGCACTTTAGAATGTGTAACCTTGCGACGATGGGTACGGCATACCGGCGTTTTCTATCCCTGCGCTTCGGTTCAATTTGTAATCTACCGCGGCGGACAGACAGACGTACACATACACTGTGTTATGGTGCTGCAGTATTGCCTACGGGTATATGATCAATTTGGGAGTAATTTTATGCCACTGCCAATTTGTCAGAGCCGGCAATAAAAAGTGGTGAGCCCTTCGTAGAAATGCAACGTTGGACGTGCCAGCAAATGTTTCTCTGTGTGTTCTGAGTTACTGTGTGTATTTTATGGCATTCAATTTAAAGGGGCATGTATGTAATTAATTTTTCTTAGGAACATATTCTGTGCAACTTTCTCCTTCTCTATATGACATCCCTTTTTGGTAATAATGTTATCGAAAAATGGACTTCTTTAAACTTTCAACATTAAACAAGTCAGTGTAATAATATTTTAAATGTTTTAATAATTGACAATTTACTTTCATTTGATAAATTTAGAAGGAAAGTCTCTTGCTGAAAAGTTGGATATGGATACGGCATGCATCATATTTTGAAACATGTCTTTGTACCGGTAATTACAGTAGGCATCAAAGTTTTAAAGTACATGTACATCCACGTATAAATTTGAGAAAAATTAATGTACACATGTCCATTTTGCAAGCAAGAAAAATCTCCCGATAAACCTCGTGTAAGTGCCCACTTAGTTTAGCATTCTCACCTATTTTGACTTGATGAGTACAAAAGAAAGTGTGTTTTTTTTTACAAATTAATGTGACAGTTTGAAAATACCATATGACATTGATGTACCTGAGAAGCAATACGAAAAAAGAAAATTGTACAAAAAAATAACGTGTACATTTTATGTCGCCATGTCACAACAAATACTGACTTCTCATTAGTACTCTGTTTTCTCAATATGGGCCCTCTTTTTGTCCCCGTGTATAAAATACCGGCTTTAATAATATCCCATCTCCTTTTAATTTCCTCCCTAATTGCTTCTTTTGTGCGACAAGCCTGGCTGCTTTCAATCATATTGAAATGCAATTTTGCAGGGTCTCAAGCTGGCATGCAGTGAGTTATTGATGACACTTCTCATAATTTGCTTCGAAAAATTAGGGTCCCCCCCCCCTTTTCACTGTTTTTTTTTAATGCTATTTCATGTGCACTTCCCTTTTGTTGATGGATGTCATCTTTTGTAACAAGTCTGAAAAATGAATGAATACATGGACCTCGATTTTTTTTTATTACAATTTCTTTGACTGCTTTTATACCAGTATTTAGCCTGAAAATTGCATTCTCGCTAGCCACGACAGTCTACTCACGGACGTCGTACAACAGTACCCTGGCAAATTGAGTCCATACTTTCTATTTTGACCTCATGAGATTAAAATTCATGAGCACAGCCAAATATGGGCCGACATAATTTCTGGCCAATCAAACTGCTCTTTACAAAAGCTGACATAACGGCAGTGCACTGTGCTGCCCTGAAAAGTGCTCTCCTATTGGCCAATGAAATTGACTGTTATTCCGGCCCTGAATATTCAGTGTGTAAAAAAAAGTCATAAAGTCAATGCAGAGAATCTGATTGGCTGATGAATGTCAGAATATAGGTTACTGAATATTCAGTGTGTAAAAAATGTCATGAGATTAATTATTCATGAGCACAGCCAAATATGGGCCGACATAATTTCTGGCCAATCAAACTGCTCTTTACAAAAGCTGACATAACGGCAAAATTGACTGTTATTCCGGCCCTGAATATTCAGTGTGTAAAAAAAAGTCATAAAGTCAGTGCAGAGAATCCGATTGGCTGATGAATGTCAATGAATGTCAAAATATGCTGAATATTCAGTGTGTTTTTAAAAAAAATGTCATTAGGTCAATTCAGAGAATCTGATTGGCTGATTAATGTCAAAATAGTAAGATTCAGACAAGTTTGCCAGCGACATTTTACATGGGTACTGGTAATTGTTTTTGTTACAAGCAAATTTTGGTCATGTATGTATGTTTAACATCAAAAGTACATTTATGTATCCATGTTTTTTATGCTGCTTTCCAAGTCCAGTCAATGCTACAATGTCAAAATGTCAAAAATCCAGTGAAAAAAACCACCCCAAAATGAGTTTTATGTCATGTGCCGTTTTTGTAATTTTTTTGTCCTTTGATTTAGGAGATTGGGATAACATTTTGTAAAAACAAAAAGAGGACTCTTTGAAACAAGCGTGGTCCTACCTTTTACGCAACAATTGGAGTTTTGATGGTTAGATAATCAGTCAGTCAAAAAAAATATCAATCAGAGCACTCTTGGACAATGTATTATAGAGGGCGCTATTTCAGTTTTACAGTCTCCCTGTGGTCTTTTTTAATTAAAGATGTTTTGTATGATGCGTTAAATGTGCTTGGCTCAAAAACGATTGATGTTCATACATGTACCGGTACATTGTACATGTAACTGAATTAAACTAATTAGAAAACTAAAAGTTAGCATTTTATGGGGATTTAATAGGTGTAGCAAAGGTGGATTAGTGAACAGTTTTTGAGGGGAAAATGCTTTTTAAATATTCTGAGTGTTTTATCATGAATAAAAACTACAAGGGCATGTACAATGCACGCACAGTATGTAAATGTGTACATGGGGTCTATTAAGTTACGGTTACATGTTCATGTACTTTTAATGAAATTGTTTCCAGAATTGTAACGGTGTTGAATGTTCATGAAACTGTGCTTGATATCTGTTTTCTAAGGACATTTGAGCACCTTGGGTAGTCCATAATGTGTTAAGCTGGCCGGCACTAATTGTGTCTGATATTTAGATTATTTCCCTTTGTACGTGATTGGCCTTGCGGCTCAGGCAGTGCTTTGTGGACAAGCCCCTGCTGTTGAAAGGCCGAGGGGAGAAAAAAAGGAAAAATATGAGCCCAGGCTGGGTGTTATGCAAAACCTGAGGAGATTAGAAAAGAGTTGAGAGTGGAGCTGAATGTGCACACTAGCAGTGAATGAGTTGACTGGGGATAGGCCTACAGTGCATGCAGGGCAAACATTGAAGTGACCCTGGGTGGATGTTAAGTCCATTCAGATGAATGGCATTTGGTTTGCTGCGACTGCAGGGTAAAACACACACACACTCCTCATCCGTGTTTGCCGGAGAGATTTCCCGGAGAGAGCTGCCAGGGTGAGGACGACTCGATGAATGGGAATAATACTTTCTCAAAAGAGGCTTGTATGTTCCTGTTACGCAACCGGGTTTGGGAGAGATTTGTTTTTGATCGAGAGTCGCATCGGCAGGGAGAGTTTGCTCATGTGCTCAACGAAAAACCTGGAGACTTAGTGCCCAGAGTTCCACTCCAGTGATTCCTTTATGAGATCGTGGTGGGGTTGACCCTCGACTGAATAGCGACGCGGTTTGGTGAGCAAACAGCGAGGCCGGTTTCAGCATCAAGCCACTCGCAGCCAGCCAGCTCAGCCTAGCCAGCCTAGCCAGCCTTGTGTGTATTCATTCCATTTCATTCATGGCTGGAGGTGCAGTATAGACGTGGTCTGGTAGAACTCTTTTCATCTTCCTCTTCTAGGCTTTCTCTTCTGGGTTGTTTTGTTATCTCTCTTTGGTCGCAACGGCTTCGCAGACAAGAACTACCGGTACTACTGTATATTCAGCAGTTGCATGTAAAGTCGCATGCACGCTCATTCACAACCAATTTGTTAGTGTGTGCATACATGCGTCGTGAGCTGTGACACAGCGAGTTCGGGATTCCCAACTCTCCCCTGGATTTTTTTGGTTCGTGTGCGTGCCAAGCGACCGAGAGACAATCCCCATCTTGGCATCGAGTGATCGTAGTAGCACACCCTCATCGCTGAACCCACCTGTCGTATTATTAAGTCTCTGCAACTGGGGGTGACTCCACGAAAAACGCTGCACCTATGTACTTCGTCGATCCGTACGCGGGTGGCGAGATGATTCTAGCACCCAGTGGGGCTCCATATGGGACTGTGCCAGTGATGGCGGTACCCCAGAGCCACCCCACGGCTAGTTATGTCTACAGCTCATCCACTAGGAAACGAGGCTTGGTAAGGAAAGACATGTGTACATTGTATGACTTTGTAAATTTAGCAGCATTACATGTGTTTAGTCAATAACCATGATAACACAACGTGCATGAAACCATACCGTACCGTATATAACCTTTCAAACCCACCAGCACTGTTTTCTTCATGTACACGTGTACCTGCATATATACAAAGTATTCATTTTTTTACCTTAGAATCAGGACATGTTTTAGATTTTTTTATAGTCTTTTTCCTGAATTTTTTATTTTAACCTATTACCACAAAATGTTACTTCTGTAAATATCGTGCACAAATACATTTATTTTCTCTGCCACATGGTTATTGCAATCTGAAGACTGCTGCTGTTTATAAAAATGTGTTTAGCGTAGAATTCTTAGCAGTTTGATTCTGGGTACCAGACCAATTCACATCCAAATTTATTTCAGTTTCCTTTTTTTTTATCTTCATTATTTTCTCCAATACTTGTAGGTCAGGTCTACTAGTAATTTATTTTTATTTAGTGATTTATTCTTTTTATTGCTTTGTTTATTATCAGACTCACTTTAAGTTATTCTTTGTGGGTAAACTAAAAAAAGAATCTGCTGTCCACAGAACATTACTTCTTCTGTGGTTTGGTTTCCGGATAACTCAACAGAGATCTTTTTGCATGAATGCTGCTCGCGTATTTGGACGGTTATTGGTTGTGCGTGGGCCTGCTGTAGATGTTACGGCCTACGCCTCTCTTTCCTTAAAGGGAAAATACAACATTTGCAAACATCAAAAAATAAAACTACCAAATCATTTTGAAATACCTTGCTGGACTGTTAGTGAATGACAGTGTAAAGCATCCTGTAAAATCATGGCACCTGGTATACTGTCATTTTCAAGAAAAGTGATATTTTTGTATCAATTTCCAACGCTGATCGGCCGATCAGCGTTGGAAAAAAACTGGCTTTTTTTTTCAAATACTGGCCCCAATTGACCATCGCACTTGTTTGCAATCGATTACAGACCTATGAACGGGTACGAGCCAGCTAGACTGGTTCCCTGACCTTACAATTCCCCAATGTATGTAAACTGCTCTGTTTCTTCTTATATGGAGTCAGGGAACCAGACTACAGGAAAATGATTGTTTTTCTTGGTTTTTATAGCATTTTCGAACCCAAAACCTCAAAAAAGTCAGTGTAATTATATTTGATATATATTTCCAACCCCCCAATTCCATCCATTTCTGAAAATTACAGTAAAAGCAAATGATGTATATTCCCTTTAAGTGACATTTAACTGACAATTTGGCCTTTGGTGTCTTGGAAACACTTCCTCTTTCGCTAAGTGGAAAACCACACTAATAAACAGAGGAAGGAATCAGTAATCTTATCAAATAAGCAGGGGGGCACATGTCAAGTATGTTTCTGAGGTGAGCTTTTGGAATTAGAAGTGAGTTGATTTACGATCGGTGCGGTAACATTTTCACGTTTGATAGTTTGCCAATATGTCATACATGTACCTGTACACATTTGTTTGGGTAAAATATTCCAAGTGGTTGAATTATGAGTATGCAGAAAACAGCTGGCACTGGTTTGGGAAGTTGTATAACATTTCCCCTTGTAGCTTTGCTATTTCTGAGCTTTAGGAGAATCAGAAAACCTTGGACACAATTATTGCCAGCTGTGTGAGCTGTCGGCCTGTATCCTGCCTGTATTGAGCAGGGTAGGATTGGAGATTTTGTGGTTGGCAGGTTCGTGAATTGAGGAAGAGAAAAGTTGGCTAACAGAGTGAGCGTTTATGCCCTGAGGATTGTAAATTGTTTTTTTTCAAAGCCTAAATCATATTCTGCTCATTGAAACAGAAATTGAATGATCGATACCGGTAGCTTTACATGTACCGGTCGGTACATGTACATTGTATAGCTTTTTGCCTTTAGAATAGCAATATGGCTGTTGTTTGTGTTCTATAGGTTGAGTTTGGGGTTTCAGGGGAAAACCAGTGACATACCGGTATGTGCACATTACAATTTGTTCAGCTAATTTTATCGATAATTTTGACAATGTACAAATGTACATGTTGTACACGTACATGTACATGTACATGTACGTACGTGTACATGTATAGCATCGTCTGTTTCAACTCGTTCAGAACTGTTGAGGACCAGTTTTTCCTAACCAAGTTTTTTGTTTTGTTTGGGTGTTTAGAATGGTTTTTGGTACAAAGTTTTGATTTATCCATGTGGTGTTGGATCAAGTTGATTTTTCAATGCAGTTTGAGATATGTACAATGTACTAGTCACTCTTAACCCTACACTGATTCCTTGATAACTGATCAGGTTACTTCATTTTCGCTGTGTTTTCATTCCCGCCCAGAACCCTGGCACCTTTGTTTTGGCTTTGAGAACTTCTGGGGTCAAACCTCCGAGCGCCAAACTAAAATAGAAACACTCCCTCCAAATGTAGCGTGTGTTTTGGGTTTCACATGTGTTATTTAGTTGGAGCCTGCAAAATTGCTAATAAACCTAATGTATAGGATTTCCCTGGCAAGATTACTATTTACAGAAAATGAGTATTCCGTGGCATGCCCCCCCCCCCCTTGTAACTTGAGCACCACTCTGCTCTGGACTTCATGACTTGTATCCAGGGCGATATAAGAGGGCTGGGCCGACAATTTCACCGGCGCCCATTGTGCTGGGAACCGGGTTAAGCTCGTATTAGGTTCACCTGGCGGAACATCAATGTTGTTCTAGCGGCCAACCCAGGTTTGGGTACGGAAATAAAAATATGCTTGTTTAGCACAATTGCTGTTTACCTGGAAGAGGTTGCCTGAAAACATGTTTACATAAGACACCTATAAACCCCTGAATATGGTAACTCCCTGCCCTTAAAAAAAAGCAATTCAATACACAATCAAAAGTTTATTATCTCAGTGATGGAAAATTCTGTCGGCCTTTTTAAACATGTACGAGATTAAAAAAGTTGGCATAGAAGACGCGAGTTAGTAAAATGGAATAAGTTATATTGTAAAAAAAAAATGGTTTCGAAATTGGCTCATAAAATGATATTACACAAGTGAAAAAAACATGTAAACTCAGTTTCAGTTTACGCTAAATCAAGTTTTGGGAATTCACTTCTAGTACAGTGAATAAGCCAAACTATTTAGCGCAGCTTCAATCCACAAAAACTAAGATCAGCCTCTACATTTAAAAGTACATACATTGTACATGTAAAACATTTCCTTTTTCTGTAATTTTCAGAAATGGATGGATTTGGGGTGTATTATTTTATAGCAAATATTGTTACACTGACCTGTTTAAAGTTTTGTGTTCATAGATGCTGGAAAACCAAGAAAAAAAAATGTTGTTCTTGTAGTCTGGTTCCCTGACCCTACTTCAGACGAAATGGAGCAATTTATAGATGTCAGGGAATTGTCAGGTCAGGGAACCAGACTAGCTTGCTTGCACCTGTTCATGGATGTGTAATCGATTACAAACATAACATGGACTAACTAAATTTGGTAAATTGGGGGCAGATTTGAAAAAAAAAACCATTTTTTTCCAACGATGGTTGGCCCATCATTGTTAGAAATTGATACAACACATCCACTTTTCTTGAAAATGAGAGCGCACTAGGTGCCATGATTTCACTGGATGCTTGAGACTATTACTCACTTAATAATTTCCTAAGTTTGTTTTTTGATGATTGCAAATGTTATACAATGTACAGTAAATTAATGTTTTAACTTTAAATCACAATAACATGTACAGTTGTACATATGATCATTATCTAGTCACTCGTTGGCCTTTAGAATTATAACAATTTCTAAAATGTATATTTTGAAGCGATAAAAAAAAAATGAATAAAAACATTTCTCAAATCTGACACTAGTCACAAAGGGCATGATTGCATAAAGGCACAATTTGGTACAATACACAAAGTCCCCACTGTCCTGGTTCACTGGTTCCCTGCGGCATAAAGAGGTTTTCACAGCGCTAGGATTGTTATCGATTTGCCATTCAGAGTTTTTTTTTCCCCCTTTCGCCAACCCCTATTGAGAGTCATTCGGCCCGATAATGATTCTGTTTTGGATTCACCTTGAACTTGTGTTGGCCACTTCGCTAGGTCTGTTGTTGTGCACGTGTGCAAGGCGACCGACAATGGCGAGGGATGGAAGTATCCGTGGAACAAAACATCGATAAAATGTCTGCACCGGATAATTTTTTTTTTTTAATATGACATTTATGAAAGGTTTGTGGGAAAAATCTATTGAATGCAGAGGTCAATGTTTCATGTACATGTTTGTGTGGACTTGTTCGCAGACAATGTACAATGTGTGATCACTTTCAAATGAACCTGCAATGACCTGTTTTTGAAACGTAATGTACAACATTTGCAGACATGGAAAAAAAAACTACCCTATTTTTATGAAATATCTTAGTTGCTTGTACAGTGAGTAGTCTCAAGCATCCTGTAAAATTGTGGCACCCAGTGTGCTGTCATTCAAGAAAAACAGAATTTTTGTATCGATTTCCAACGATGGTCGGCCGTCTGTCGTTGGAAAAAAATGATTTTTTCCCCCAAATACTGCCCCAATTTACAGTATTTAGGTACATGTCGTTTACAGTTTGTTTGCAATTGGTTGCACATCCCTGAACTGTTTGCAAGCCAGCTAGTCTGGTTTCCTGACCTGATAATTCCCAGACGTAAATAAATTGCTCTGTTTCGTCTGAAATAGCATCAGGGAACCAGTATGTACAAGAACAGCACTTTTTTCCTAGATTTTTTCCAGCATCTACATGTATGCACACAAAACTTACAGGTCAGTGTAACAATATTTGCTGTAAAATCCTAACCCCCAAATCCATCCATTTCTGAAAATTACAGCAAAAATATATGTATTACCTTTCAGCTTGTAATTTCAACATTGAGTGTCATTTTTATTTCTTCATAAATTTAAAATCAAAAGTGTTTACAAATAATTCTTTTCAGTCTTCTTTGATGTGAAGGGGCTGTGTTTTGTACAGACTAGTGCTT